AGGCTGCAATGCTTGGTAAGAAATGTACGCATTATCCTGCCCATGCAATTGTAACCCCTCTGTACAGTATGTTCACAAATAAAATAAAATAAAATTTATAAAAAAAAAAGAAAAAAAAATGAAAAATGTCAAAATGTCATTAATCTAAATGCAGTGACCTACCTCAATATCAGTTTTCTAAAAAACTAAGTACAAACAAAAATAATTTTAGGCCCATAACACTTTGACAAAGAGAGGACGGGGCATTTATAATTCACACATAATCTAATTTGATTTCATTGTACATAAATATTCTAATCTGAGATGAAAACTCCTTCCTTAAGCTGCATCTAAAGTCATAAAAGAAAACTTAAAAAGAAAAAGGAAATATAATAGGTCCATAGTAAATGCTTCTATAAGAAAAACTGAGTGAAAGAAATCTAATAGCTTTTTATAGTAGTCAAAAAAACCACATTGTATCTTAAATACCCATGTTAGATGGTAAGTGCAAAATACTTGTCTGAACAAATTTTACATTATTATACATATTATTACAAATTCAAAATATGTTTCATTAGACCTAGTTTAAAATATTCAGATTTTCAAATGAAGATTAGAGCCATTTAAATCAATCACTTTTCTGTATTTTAAACTTGTGGTAAATTGTACTTCTATCTATTATAATTAACGCATGGGTTCCTAATTTATTTATTAGGAACTCATATTCAAATTCATTTCAACTCACCTATGAGAGACCGCTCCCCAGGCACCATGTTTATTTGTGAGAATATTGAGAATCTTCTGTTTGAGCTGATTTGCTGTCACATGATCTCGATGTTTAGCAGCACTAATAAGATGGTCACACATTTTTTCCTCCTCCCTCCTGTCAGCAGCATACTGAGCACACTGAGACTGAGAAGAGAGAACAATAATGTGCAATGAGGCACATATTATAATAAAGTCATGGTACCTATCTTTAAGGCAAAGGGCAAGACCTATTGATCTTTATTTTTTATTTTATTTTATTGTAAAGATGCTGTACAGAGGGTTTACAGTTATATGAGTAAGGCAATGAATACAATACTTGTTGATCATTGTTACCCCTTCCCTTGTTGTGCTATTCATCTTTAAAAACTCAAATAATGTGTTCTTTTCAAAGTATGTGTGCGATATTTTGGATAATGTTAGAGTAATGACTTTAGAGTTTCACTCTTGAAAATACGATTTTAATGTCTAAAATTAATCATCTTACAAAAAAGGTTTACTAAAAATATAGATCTGCTTGTTACTAATATGATGTGTCTCACTTAAAATAAGACATGCTCTGAATAATTTAAAGACAAAAAATATCATTTATGTTACAATTTTCCAATTATCAATGCCAATATACAATACAAGAAAAAAGCAACTTATAAATTGAGTAGCCCTGGGTTTTTATTTCTCACTTTATGCAAATGCACTTAGTTCTGTTATCAAAAGGAAGAGCTGACAAGGTTTCTAACATTCCATCTAATGCTAATTTTATGTTTCTAAAGTGTTTCCTGGGAATTATTTCTGTTTTTTAATCTTTGCTTTCCAATAATATTCTATTGTCATGTCAGCGAGCTGTATTTATGTTTTATTTTTATAGTAGTCTGTATATAGTGTTGGTAATACTGTTGATCAACGGAACACTTTGTGTATCAAAACTTTCAACATGAACTCGAAATAAAGGATCTTGTAAATAATCTTTCAATCTTTCCTTTTGTGGTGTTCAAATTTTAATCCAGAGCCTTATACTTTCTAGGTATACATATTACCTCTTGAGCCATGTCCCAAGCTCCTCAATTTTTTTTCCCAAGCTCCTCAATTTTGATTATTTTAAATTTAAGGTCTTGCTTTTTGCCAGGATGGCCTAGATCTCAATTCTCCTATTTATGCTTTTTGCCACAGCTTAGGTGTCAGGCATAGATCCTTACACCAAGTTTTCCTATTGAGACTGGGTCTTTGGAACTGGATGGCCTGGAACTGTAATTGTCTCTATTTCAGCCTCCTGCATAGCTGGAATGACAGGAACACAATATCACATCTAGCTTGTTGGCTGAGATTAGTGTGTTTTTGTGCCTGTGGGGTGTCTTAATTTTCTGTGTGTGTTGGTACTGGGGCTTTAATACATGGGCCATAACTCCAGCATTTTGGTGGTTAACAGAATGTAAGAATTCTCATAGACTTTCCTACCTAGACTGACTTAAAAGTGAGATCCTCAGAACTCAGCATCCTTGCAAATGTGACCAAATGACACTCAGATTCACATGAGCGTTTTGCATGGGTTGCCTTTCTGGAAACATGATTCTTGAAATCTCAGCTCCCACAAGAATTATAGAAATGCAGCCATTTCACCAGGCTGTAAGTTTAATTTTTATGGTAGTTTTCATACATATTAGCTTGACTATAGATTAGCATTAACAAATGTGTAATACATGTAATGCAACTAGAAAGAATAAAGTCTCATACATCTGAGAAAATATATGAAACTATTCCCTTTCATCATTTCTATGGAAACAAAAAAAATCTATTTCATGGTATGTACTTAAGCATATTCCTTCTATCTACTGAAATGGACTACTGCTACAAGTCATCTCTTTTTAAAGTAAACCTAAAGTAATCTAAGAAGGATTAATTCATTTTCCAATTTATCTTTTTGTATAGGGAATCACCAATTAGTACAAGGATCTGCCTCAGTAATGAGGTTAATATTTCATTAGCTCATTGGAGAGTAAAATTAAAATTTCATTTTTCTTTCTTAATAATTACAATAGCTAACAAAAAAGCTTAACTGTTAAATACCCATGTTAAATTACATAGGCTTTTCCTCTTAATTACAGGCTTAAATAGAGGACAGAGAAGCTCATCAAAAAATCCTAGCAAAGCTTACATACATGACTTTTGTAAAATCTCTTGGAATTTACAAGTCAAATGGCCATCCTAAAAGCAGATTTATACTACATTATATATGATACATATATCTAATCTTAAAAACACCAATTCTTCATGTTCCCTTCAAAACTTATTATCCCTAGCTGTGCATGAGTAATGGGATTGTTCTCAACACTAACGGATGAAGGTTATGGTGACAACATATTGAAAAATATTTTAGTTTTTCAATAAATAATATACAGACGTGTAAGTAGGTCACAAACAACAAGCAAATAAGCAGAATACTGATGGTATTAAAAATGCATTACAGGGGCTGGGAAGGTGGCTCAGTAGTAGAGTGCTTGCCTTGTATTCATGAGGCCCTGGGTTCAATTGCACAGCACCACATAAGCAGAAAAAAGCCAGAAGTGGTGTTGTGGCTCAAGTGGTAGAGCACTAGCCTTGAGCTGAAGAGCTGAGGGACAGTGCCTAGGCCCAGAGTTCAGGCCTCATGACCAACAAAAGAAATGCGTTAGAGCTGAGAACCAGCAGTTTCACATCTGTAATCCTAGCTACTAAGGAGGCTGAGATTTGAGGATCAAGGTTTGAAACCAGACAAGGTAAGAAAATCCATGGGAATCTTGTTCGGAATTAACCACCAAAAATTCAGTAGTGGAGCTGTGGCTCAAGTGGTAGAATGCTAGTCTTGAGCAAAAAAGCTCAGGGACAGCACCCAGGTCCTGAGTTCAAGCTCGATAGCCTGCACACATATTTATATAAAAAAATGTGTTGGAGCTGTAAAGCAATTAGGAAAAAAAATATCTAAAAGACACCCTGAGGATCAATAAAAAACAAGACTGAAAAAGGTCCCCAGCTGTCCCTTTTGGTTAGATATGTGTTAAAGCTCAGGATTCATATATGGCTGCTTGAAAAATCTATTTCAGATCTTTCATAGGACAAATACTGACCAGCTTCTATCTAAGCTAAATATCCTGATTTTAGTGGAAACATAATTGCCTCAAAATTGATCCTATAGGGAATTCAGTTAACATTCTACATTTTATTAAGTTAAAAGGTATTTGAATATTCTTATTTTGTGAGTTCTGACATGTCTTATAACTAAGCATATCCCTCAAAGACTGTAAAATACTGAATGATAATTCTGAAAATATGCAATGTTTTTCATTGGTAAAGTGATAGGTAATTTTACTTTAATAAACCTTTGTCATTATACCTTTATCTAGGTTTAAAATATCTAGTATTTTTTTTCAAATAAGGTTGCTACAATTTCATGAGACAAATGTCTGCTGTCACCTCTGACCAATGAAGCGGAGGCTCCATGTGTATGAAAGTGACAACTATTTTATTGTTTCATGCTATTCAGCTAGCTAGGTCAGAGATCACCAGATATAAAAGAACAACTCAACAAAACTGGAATTGTGTGTTATGATTTCTAGCCACACCACATGTTTGGCATGTGGATCAAGAAAATAAATTTGTATTTATTACTGCCAACACCAGTGGGAGTCCAGTGCTGACCATCAGGTCATCAAATATCTCTGACACGTGTTGTGTTGAAGACTGAACTCAAATGCTGAATAAGTGCTATATGTAAAAATTTGAAATCAGGAGATTTATTGAATTGTATGATTGGGTTCATAAAACAATATCATGGACATATCTATTTAGTGGTGTATTAACTTCCTCTGGTTTAAAACTACAGTAACTGGATTATAAATTGTTATTTGCCTTTATTTTAAGAATAAGTTAGAAGAACTTGAGTCTACCAATTAGCCTCATGGCAGAAAGGATTTCTTCCTTTCATGATCAAAATGGAAATAAACTAGTGCTCTTTTTTCATTTACTAAAGATTTTAATAATAGTACCTAAAATATGTTGCATTCAGAAAAATTTTCTCAGAAATTAAATTTATGTAAGGTGACAAGAGAGTGATGATTGATTTGCAACAGGAAAGTACATTTAATCTATTCCCCAAACCTTACCTCAAATTCTGCATGTTTATGTACATCCTCAGCTCTTTGTCTATTCAAAATAAACTCTGCTTCATTTGCAACACGAACTATATGGTCCTTCATAGCATGGCACAACAATCTAAAAAGAAAAGTACCTTTGGAGTTAATTCCTTGGATAGCTTTAGTTAGTCCAGTTTTCTTCAATAATCAAATTTTATTATTACAAATACTCATTCATAAATCCTAGATTAAATCTATATTATATAAACTAATGTATTTTAATTTATAGTTCCATCTGTTGACAATGCCTCTGTTAAACAGTGTCATAAATAGATGACTTGGTTCCTGAAAAACAGTTAACACAATGAAAATGAAGGATTTCTATGGATACTTTACAGTGTCTATAAACAATGCAATTCAACATCGTAGAAACAAACTTTCCAACTTAAATTGGATATTTCATATTAAGAAGTTTGCCGAATTGATCCTCATTTGTATTAGTACGGATGATAGGGCTAAATGATAACTAAAATTTCTTTAAATGTTGAAAGTACAATTCTAAGTAAAACTACACTAAATTTTTAAGCAAATGCAATGAGACAAAAATTCTTCAATTACGTTAGTTATTGGAATACTTCAATTACTTTTAAAATGTGTAATAAATTACCTAGAACATCCCCTTACTACATCCTTTGTCCACTAATTTCTTTCTCTCTTTTTCTTTTTGGTTGGTCATGGAGCTTGAACTCTGAGCTTGGGCACTGTCCTTGAGCTCTGCAGCTCAAGGCTAGCACTCTACCACCTAAGCCACAGACCATTTCTGGTTTTCTGGTGGTTAATTGCAGATAAGAGTCTCATGGACTTTCCTGCCTGGGGCTGGCTTCGAACTGCAATCCTTGGATCTCAGCCTCCTGAATAGCTAGGTTTACAAGCATGAGCCACTGGCGCCCGGCTTGTCCACCCGATTTCTAACTTCAATGGACCTACAGAGTTGTTCATTCCTTGAGTTCCTTTCAGTCTTTAAAAATGTAGAAAAGTTGTTCAATTCAAACCTCAAAGAGATATGACAAAGTAAACAGAACTCAAGAAACAAAGGAGCTTTTTTTAAATTTGTCGGATTGTTTTTAGAAGACTCTGTTCTTGACCCCACTTACGGTTTATACATGTGCACATATGAGGTAAGCTAGGAGAAGGGCACAGAATAAGAAGGAAACAGGTGATAAAATATAGCAGAGGGACCTATCAGCTGCACTAGGCATTGATGAAAATGAACTAAGCAACTCAAGGGCAGGAATGGGAGGGAGGGAATGAGAGAGAAAGAAGGAACAGCTTACACTAAGCAAAAGGAAAGAAATGTACATATCACCCATTTGGAAAAAATAGTTGTATTGCCAAAGTTTGTAGAATTCACAAGCTTTATAGACCATGATAATGACAATTTGCTTTGTGAAGGTTAAAATGTGTTTGTGACTTTAGTTAAGTATCACCATTTCACAACATTGTGAAATTTATATAATCACTTAATCTCAATAAATTTTAGATAATGTGCAAAAATTATAAATATATAAAATCCACCACCTTAACTTTCTCATAGTAGCTGTTCCTAGTTTTTCTACTTAGCAACTGTTGTTGGAGATACCTTCACATTTTGCACAAAGAAAAACTCATCCTTCTTTTGTAACATGTGACAGAAGTTATTTTAGAGATGGCTGCCTCAGTATTTTCCACATCATATATTCTTTTTCAGTGTTACTTTGTCATCATCCTATCTAAAAGTGGAGTCTTCATTGTTCTTAGGGGCTTGCCCTGTGACTTAATATACCCAACAGAATGCAATATGAGTGAGACAAGCAACTTTGATTTTTCTTGACATATATTCTCTTGGGACTCTACTACCATGATGCCAGAAACCCATAACACACTTAGCTGAGCCCAGTCAATGAGAAGTAAGAGAGAGAGAACTGATTGTTGTACTAGATAATAAAGAAATTGATATTGATTGTAACAACTATTTCCAAACCATTTACTAAAGGCTATCTAATAAATTAGGTAATTTACATAGAGTCCTTAATTTTCACAAATCCTCAGTAGTAAACAATTTTTTTCATTATTGTACAGATGAAACTAGTAGTCAGAATCTTGTCCCACATCATAATTTTTAAAACTTTTCATGATTTTAATTTCTCATTCATCTTGACTAAATAGAAACATTCTAAAAGACATGTAATTCTTAATTTTTTATATTTTATATTTTTATTTTTGGTCAGTCATGGGGCTTGAACTCTGGGCCTGGGCACTGTCCCTCAGCTCTTCAGCTCAAGGTGAGCACTTTACCTCTTGCGCCACTTCCGGTTTTCTGGTGGTTTTATTGGAGATAAAAGTTTCACAGACTTTCCTGTCTGGGCTGGCTTTGAACCATGATCCTCAGGTCTCAGCCTCCTGAGTCGCTAGGATTACAGATGTAAGCCACCGTTGCCCAGCTATCGTCCACTTTTTATCGCCCAAGATTATAATCTAAAGTTTTATTTTCAAAAGTACAATTGTTTATTTTTATGGCCTCTTCATGAATCATCATTCTCTTCCTTGCTCAAGCTGTCATAATTTTTAATCTGAATGAGAGATGTTTCAATATTTGTATTTATTAAACAGTAACTCATAGTAATATCTTTCATAGTCTTTACTACATTCTAGTTAAGTATGGTAAATTTGTCTTCTTTACTAATAAAAATAATCAAGGCAAAGAAAAAAATCATTATATGTCTGTCTTTTTCACTCAAGGTGCCACTCTACCACCTGAGCCATACTTTCTCTTTCTCATTATATATTCTGATATTTGCAATTACTGATTAAAAATAACTTTTAAAATCTACCCATGACTTTTAGGTGAGTCTAATTATATTTCATTTGTTTGATTTTCTTATGTACTAAAGTTGACTTATAGCAATGTGGGGGCCTGAACTCTGGGCGTGGGTGCTGTCCCTCAGCTCTTCAGCTCAAGGCTAGCGCTCTACCACTTGAGCCACAGCGCCACTTCCGGTTTTTTTCTTTTTGCTTATGTGGTGCTGAGGAATCGAACCCAGGGCCTCAGGCATGCAAGGCAAGTGCTCTGCCACTGAGCCACCTTCCTAGCCCCCTTGCTGTTGTTTCTAATGTACTTATAATGTACTATGTCATTTTTTTGTTTCTTTTGTATGTTCTTCCCCTAAGATAACCCCTGTTTTCACTGTATTTGATTCCAGTGCCCTGCATCTTGTATATACATTTTTCTAAATTTGGGGAGGGGAAGGGAAATAACAAAATGCTGAAATAAGGATACAGGTTGACCCATTGTAACAATGAGACATACAAGACACTCTGATGAACACGAACTTTATAACTTCAGGAGGGGGGTGGGAGGGAGGAGTGGGGGTGGTGGGAAGAGAAGGGATGGCAGGGGCAAATCAAACAAGGGGGTAAGAATGTTCAATAGGAAATGTATTCATTACCTTACTTACGTGTAACTGTAACCGTTCAGTATCTTTACAATAAAAGTATATACTAAAAAAAAATTTTGAGTAAGTTTAAAATAATTCCAACAAAAAATATGAGTATGCATTTTCCCTTGTGAAAACTGTCAAACACTTGAAGTACAATTTAAAGTATGTTTTCCCCCAAACTTTTCTAAGACAGGAATGTAGTACTATGCTATTAAGCTAGTATTAAATGAATATCAGACCTGGATAAAGACTCCTTTGTACAATTACTTAAAGGTAAATAGAATATTAAAAACAAACAAAAAAGAATCTGAAAAACTACTAACCAGAATTGACAACCTAATGAGTACAGCTTCATAAAACTTACAAACCTGTGGACACAAGGTCTTTGTTGTTGTTGTTTTTGATGTACTATGTGATTTTTTTTTGTTTCCTCTGTGTGTTCCTCCCCCTATGGTATAACCCCTGTTGTCACTGTACTTGATCTTGGTACCCTGCATCTTGTATATACATTTGTCTAATTTGGAGAGGGGAAGGGGAATAACAATGCTGAAACAAGGACATAGTATGACCCATTGCAACAATGATACCCACAAGACAGCATATTGGAAATGAATTTTACAATTTTGTGGGGGGGGGAGAGTGAAGAGTGACGGAGGGGGGAGGGAAGAGATAGTGGGAGAACATAAGGAAAGGGGTAATAATGCTCAACAAGAAATGTACCATTGCCTTACTCATGTAACTGTAACCTCTCTATACAGCATCTTTACAATAAAATCAAATTTAAAAAAACTTACAAACCTTTGGAATACAGATGCAGAAATCCTCAACAAATGCTGGCAACCTAATGTGGTACCATATATAAAGACAATATAACATGACCAAAGGGCATTTATGCTAGGTTGGTTTTCTACATGGAAGTGAATCCATGTAATACACCACAGTGATGGAAGGATGGAGAGTGGGCACATAAATGTTTCTCTTTGTAGATAATATTCAGTACTGTTCAGTGGTAATTAAAAAATAATTCAAGTAACAGAAGTAAACTTTCTCAGTCTGAAAAATTGTGTTAACACAGAGAAAGAGAGAAACAGAGAGAGAAAGACAGAGAATATCACAACTAGCATTATGTATACTTGAGAAATAGTGAATATATCACACATTCAGAACAAGATCCAAAAGCAAATCTTAATTGTCCATTCTTACCAGTGCTATTGATCATTGTAATTGTGAGGTTCTTGATAAGGAGATTAGTTAAAAACAAGAATTTAAAGATTTACAAATTGTAAAAATATAAGTAAAAGTCTCAAGTTACTGAAAAAAATTACCTTTTTTAATCAATCCCTAAAATTAATAGATTCACCAAATTGAAGTATAGAAAATCGAAGGATATACAAAAATTGCATGTATATCTATATACTAGAAATGAAACAACTGAAGCAAAATAAAAGAACAGTGCGATTTGCAATGTTATTAAAGAGTGCCAGGCACTGGTGGCTCATACCTAAACCCCTAACTACTTAAAAGGCCAAAAACTAACAGTTGTAGGTTTTTGAGTGGCTCGAGGTAGAATGCCATCTATGAGCAAGCAACATGATGAGGCACTGAGTTCAAACCTTACTTCTGCCAAAAAATTGTTATTAAATACATGGAGAAATTAACTAGT